ACAATGTTTTTGATGAGAATTCAGACTACGCCATTTTCTCCGAGATGTCTTCATCTCCCGCTTCGATGGAAGCCGCCAAGATCTTAGATGCGTTCGGATCTCAGCCTGGGTATTCTAAGCAGCATATACTCAAGCCGCCTTTACCGGCGTGCCGACATGGTTGAGATTGCCTAAAGATCGATGGCCTAAGGAATGGAAGATTAAATATAATGACCCCTTAGTACCAACGCTGTTAGCGTTATACGGACGCCCAGATAGTGGTGGTATTTGGGAAGCGTATTTTGAGAAACAGATTGGGAAGAAAGGATGGCAAACAACGCTCAAAGAAATTTGGCGTTCTGTTTTCTACCACCCCGACCTTGATGCTCTTCTAGTTGTGTATGCGGATGACCTCAAGCTCGCTGCACCAACCAAGAAGATCAAGAACGCTTGGAAGTCAATTTCTAGCATGATTGACATTGATGACCCAGAACCTTATAACAGGTACTTCGGGTGCGAGCATAGAGAAGAGCAGGATGTTAAACTCGATATCAAAGAACACCCTTTCCATGACATATTCAGCACGGCTAAATCCGTTGCCGCGCAGACTAGGACCGAGGACTATTGGTCATATGATGAGGAACAAAACACATATACTAGGCGCCACCTATATCCTTGGAAGAGGCGTTTTGCACCTGTTGACTGCGCCTTGCCAGCATTTAATTTCCTTGCTAAAATGACCACCATCAAGCACAATGACGAGGGTGCCTTTAACGAGGGGGGCTGGTGGGCGGGTAGGACTGTGTTCTACTGCTGCCCTAACCGGCAAGCCGAAGTAGAGCGCCCAGAAGGCTACGCAATGGCAGGTAAGAAGAAAACAGGTGTTAGGAAAAAGACCTCTGCCAAGCAAGCTGCGCGCGCGCAGAAGTTCACCAACATGTCTGACCTCCCGGTCAAGAAGGGTGAATGCGTGCGCAAACCCGTGAATACTGTTTATTATGATATGCGCGAGTTTCTATCCTCATGCGTAGATGCATACTGTGACTTAGCTAAGGTCAAACGCAAAGACCTCAGAAAGGCCTCCACTCCATTTCATGAGCTACGGAAAGCAAGGCCTCGTGAAAACGAGGAGCAACCTGAGGGACGTCTGAAGGGCGTCGCAAGCCGGGTCCTTATGAAGATTCTCTTTGCCGCGCGGATGGCGCGTTAGGGCCTGCTGCGTGCAACTCAGTCCTTAGCTTCTAGAGTCACCAAATGGTCACCAGACTGTGATGCAGGGTTGCATAGGTTGGTATCATACATTAATTCTTCTTTAGATCTTACCATGCGCGGTTTCATGGGCGATCGGTTTTCTGAATGTCAACTTTGGCTCTTCGCAAATGCGGATTTCGCAGGTGAGTTTGAAAATAAAAGTACAACTGGTTCTTTTATGGCACTAGTAGGACCGAATACTTATTGGCCTATTAACGCCTGTAGTAAGAAACAAACTGCTACCGCGATGTCTAGTACTGAGGCCGAGGTTGTTGCCACTAACCACGCTGTCCGTCCGCAGGGTCTCCCGTCGTTGACTATTTAACTACCTTGTTGCCATGAGCGACCCGAAGTGTCCGCCTAAGACACGACGCGCTGGCGTAGCTGCCAAGCCAAAGGCGCCCACACTGCATGAGCCCGTGTCGGTTGCAAGGGTTGACCCTGAATGGATGAAATTCGGCATGGTTTTCTCCACAAAGGCCCTGAAAGTGTTGCTAATGTGAACCACCTTCAAATTAGGTTAGGTCCTAGTTTCACTGTTCGCTTTATGGAAGACAACCAGGCCACCATTACTATTATATCCAACGGTAATTCAGTCAACATGAGACACGCCGATCGCAGACTTTCGATAGTGACCAATTCGATTTGATCAATGTTAATACTCTTCATCAAGCTGCAGATGTGTTAACCAAACATTCACTTCTCCACAAAAGTGGGATTCGGTGCTTTACATTTTTAATATGGTGAATTACACATCCCAGAAACCCAAACGCAAGGGCAACTCCTTAGCCGTGACGCCCTCAACGGGCGATCCTGCGCAGTATTTCGACGTTTCCACCCCTGAGAACTCCGACAATGAAGATGAACAGGATCAGGGGGGTAACGGTAACGCACTGCCCAATCAGCAACCCAAACAACAGCCCAAACTCATGGTTGAATGGTGTTGTTCACCAGATTCCGAACTTGGACAACCAAGAGCTGCATCCAAAGGTTGCACTGTGTTTAGGGTCACTGAAAGCGAGGACGCCACGACAAAGGAATGTGTTGAACAAATCGCGCAGGAAACAATTAAGTTTTGGAAGGACAACGGCAAATGCAAAATTCACGTCCACATTTCTCTCCCTTGCACTGGAGGACGCCAATGGAACAATGTGAACAAGGGTTTGCCAGGAGGAAAAGAGAGGATACAACAACATCAGAAGAAGTTTTCCAACTTCACCTTCAATTTCTTTTGAACTTGCTTCCTTTTGTGTGTATTGGAAATGGAAGAGCGTTAGACGTTTTAAACAAAAGTATGAACTTGTTGACTACAGACTCCATGGTTGTCAGGTAGGTGCGACGGACGAACATGGGACACCCATTAAGAAGGGTTGGACGATTTCGGCGAAGGTCGAGGCGTTTGCTGCTCTTGAACAGCGTGCACAGTCTAGAGGTAAGGCACTTATAGGGAAGCTGAAGGTTACCCGTTTAGGTTGACTGATAGGATTCATACCATGTTCAGAAACCATCGTCAACATGCTGTAACTAACCTGTGCACTGAGGTTCAGACTGTTCACGCAGCATGCGCCACTACCACCACACACCCGCACTCCTGCACTCACCCTCACACTTACACCACTTACTACCCACACACTCACTTCGCCACTCACACTTCACAGACTGAGGACGCCATACTTAGGTACGTCACTCCTGTCCCAGCGCGTTCCTTGTCCGACTTGCATCCTTCACCGGATTGCCTAGCCACGATCGTTCACGAGGATGACCTCCTCCAGATTGACTGGGACAACTTCAGCGACGAGCCTATAGACAAGCATTTGTCCGTAAACTACTTTCCGGAGACGGAAGAGCGATGGACAAAGTTCATGGCATACGCTATTTACCAACGCATGATGCTTACAGAGGATGGCTCCAAGGAACACTATGAACAGTTGATTGGGCTCCTCCGCACATTGCATCCCATTGCATTGTATGATGCTTGGTTGAAAAATTACTGTATATGTATTTTCGGATGCAATGCAGGGCCTCACAACTATACATCGTACGGCCACCTCAATGTGCTTCCGGGGACGCAACGCCCGAAAGCTGCGGTCATCGTCACAGGCTCTATTTTCTGCTTCCTTGACGGAAAGCGAAGCAAGACTGCCTATACGAGCCCATCGAGGAGATTCGGCTTGCTTTTGGTGTCGATTGGGATGATGTTGAGGTCAAGAATGTGTGGGGAGGCGATCTCCCACGACTCATCCGTTTTCGAGATGCCCGACTACGTGGACGATTTCTGGGTCTGACAGAGATTCCACGGTGAGACCACCGACCTTGAAGGCAATTTGTGTCCAAGGAAAAGGGACGCCTGTGTTTTGAGGGTTATGAGCCCAACGTTAGGCTCTGGGGGCGCGTTCGTGTGAGCGCCATGGAGCGTGCTCGTTCGCTTCCGCCAGTGAATCCATGGTGGAGCGACAAGGTCAAGATGGAGGCCATCCTAAGGTCGCAAAGACCAGAAGATCTGCCGGCGCCGGCAGATGGGGATCTGGATGAAGAGGCTGCAGCAGTGCAGGACGGATGCGCTGCGGGTTCGGGCAAAGGACGCGGGGCAGTGTCCATGAGTGGTTCAGCTGGTGCTAGGCTGTTCACCACCCCCGAAAGTGCACGAAGCTTCATCGAGGGTCCGGTCACTGGTCGTGGGCGACAGACGGATGGTCGAATGCCTGCAAGTGAAGGGTCTTCTGGTCCTCCCACATCCATGGGGCCGCTGCCGCCACAGCATCAGCCGAAGCAGAAAAAGCACGCTGAGCCTGGCCGCGATCGAGAAAATGATCTCCAACGTGCCCTGGAAGCAGAGATGGTGAGTTTTTTGAGGGAACAAAATGCTCAACTACAAGAGCAGGTCGAGGCTTTGAAGAGGCAACAGCAAGGTCACCCTGCTAGTGGTCCAACATCCACCCCTTCGTCATGGGAACAGGTTGAGATCACCAAAGAAGGTTGTATGGGTCCAACCTCTGGGGATGGTGGCTTGGGCGTGGCTTCACAAGGGCCGCATGATGATCTACCTCGCACTCCTCGAGGACGAACTACGTTGTCCGTGTACAGAGCACGCACGAGCTTGATGAAGGATTTCTAATATGACTCCTTCGTCGCTGGAATTCATTCCTCCCAGAGATTTTCCCTACGGGCAGCTCTTAGTAAAGGGTGGTGTTGAAATTCACCTCATCCCCATAGACCCCGTAGCGTGTACTCTCAAGGTAGAGTGAAAAGAGCGCTTAACGGCTAGACAGGGTTAGCTAGTAGATTAGAGCTGATCCTGTAAAATACAGAATGTTGAGAGGTTGGTGAGACGGTGCTTTTGATCAGAACAGACTCTGAAGTTGCAATGACTTTGCGCAGTATACTATTTTGCGCGTGTGTGTGTGTTGCGATGTTGATGAGTTTCAACGTCAGAGATGTGATCATGTAATCTTTTGATGGATTGATGGATCGGTCAGTGTCAGCAGTTCATGGATGAAGTTTTGACGAGTGAAAAATGGAGCTTTGTCCAGACAGATATATGGATTGATTGAAGTTCTAATCGGCATGTAACACTAGGTGTCCTATTCCAGTCCCCAAGAACAAGGGTTTTGGAAATACGGCTCGGGGCAGGCAGGTGTCATGTTTAGGCAGCCCACATTCCTGGCTAAGATTGGGTTACAGATGTTTCCCTTCGTTAGAAATTTTTTAGCATCTTGAGCGCTCGACTAGCCTGACACCTGTGGTTTTTGCATTCGTTTCCTCCTGTCCAGGACCAGTTGCGTGATGTCACTGCATCCAATCACGCACTGCAGGCGCAGTTCAAACAGAACAGATTCGTGGTTGTCCAGGAAATGAGTCCTGTTTCTACAGCAGAGTGTTGACACCTTTTTTGGAAACTCTGAAGGGCGCAGGATCTCCCATGTTTTGCATAGTAATTATCACATGCAAATGTGATTTGTTGTGTCCTCGGCCTACCTTGGCGTCTGCGACCCCCGTTAGGAAGCGTTGAACTGGGTGCCCTTAGGCTCCCATTATGAACTGGTGAATATTTTGGGCAAGCGAGACCTTAGCTATCCATGGTCCGACAGTGTCATTGTCCAACTTGTGAGGCAGAGTTGGAGACGTTGAGGACACCTCGCTGCTTTGCCAACTCTGCATTTGAATAGACTCTGGTAGAATGCGGAGTCCGGTAGAGACGAGGATTCATTTGGAAAAGTTGGCGGAGTCACGCAAGGCGCCACGAGAGTTTCGTGGGGTGTGTTTTATTTTGCGGAATTTAAAACAGGCAGCTGAAGCCAGATCACGATCCGGTTTGGGCGCTGGTCCTGAAGCACAGGCAAGTGGAGATCAAAACATAATGATGTTTGTTTTGTAGTGATTTGGGGTGCTCGCTTTGAAGGTACATCAACTGAAAGATGAGAGAGACATGTTGAAGGCTTGACTCGACTGCCACAGTGTTTGGTCCTGGATGTTACTTTGCGACTGCTCCGACAGTACAGCATCCATGGCAAGGTGGCGAGATGTTTACCATCGTTTACCTACAGACTGGATTGGCTATATACATGGAAGTCACTGCGGGTCTGATTGTTTGGATGTCATTTCTAAGAGATGTCAAGTTTAGTGGCATGAATGGCAGGTGGCACACTCGAGGCATGAAGGTTACTGTACACGACACTTGAGGCCCAAACTAGCGCGTAAAAGACGGCGCGTGTTCGTTTTCATGGTAGCGGAGCTCTGCTGGTAGCCCCAGCAATTCCAGGGAGACCCTTTTTAATCCACCGGGGAGACGGCTCACCGAAAATCCCGGGTGAGCTAGTATCCGGGTCGCGCACATGGCGGGTATCGAGGAGCACAAGGGCACTGGGGCGGCAACAGGAGCACCGAGCTCCCTGGGTGGTGTTCAAGGGTTGGTCCAGGCCCTCCATGGCCTCATTGAGGTACAACGAAGTTCAGGTTTCACCAAGCACCTGAAACCACCTACGAACTTCTCCCCTGAGAACCGCAGCGAGGAGCTGAATAGATGGATGGACTGGAGGTTCCAATTCAAAACCTTTGTGGGTGCAGTGGACCCCTCAATGCTGGCCCACATGAAGAACGCAGAGAAGGAGGAGAATGTCATCAACGACGCCCTCCAAATGTTCGACCCCAGTCCGAGAGATTGTACTCATTGCTCACAGGACTCATGAAGCAGCGTCCATCAAAATGGACTTGAGGCATGGCGCATCCTCACCAAGGACTTGCATGATTGTTCGTGAATATGAACGAAGCGCCAACGTGACCTACCCGGACGGCCGGACGACCTGAAGATTGCCTCGGTGATAGCTGCATTGCCCTCCACCCCGAGGCTCCACATTCAGATGACACTACAAGATGACACGACGTTCGAAGACCTCAGGCAGCGCATCGAGATGAGTGATGGAAGCCTACAGGTGAACGTCAAGCCTTTGATGGATCAAGAAGATCGTGGAGGCCCCATGGAAGTCGATGCCATCTGGTCCAAGGGTGGCAAGAAGGGTGGAAAGAAGGGTAAGAAAGGGAAAGACAAGGGGAGGCAAGATCCCTTGGTCCAAGGACGGAGGCAAGAAGAGTGGCAAAGTTTAAAGGCGCCAAGAGCTTTGGCAAGCAAGATGGAAAGAAAGGAAAAGGAGGAGTTGGCACATGCCACAATTGTGGCAAACCCGGGCATTTTGCTCGAGAGTGCTGGGCTCCAAAGAGGGTGAACAAGGTGGACTGGAGCGTCAACTGGCACAACCTCCCACTCTACGTACAGAGCTGGAGTCAGGAGGGTGCGATTGGTCACGCCTACAGGTCTGGCGACTATGGAGATCTTCGACTTGACCCAGGACGACTCGATGGACGAGCCGGAGGTGTCGGAAGATGATGTGAGGACAATGAGATCTTCTACGACTGCCAGAGCGAAGAGGAAAGTGAGCCACGAAGCACTTCGTCGTTGGAAGAAACAGGAGATCATGACTTGAGAGCCCAATGCAACAAGGAGGAGATGGACGAGATCAGAGTGTGCATGGTGAAAAGCGTAGCCCCCACTTATGTGGTCATGACTTTGGATTCAGGCGCAGATGTCTCTGTGGCACCTGAGGAGCACTATGAGATGGGCATCCCTGGCAACTCACGTTCAGCGCAAATGGTGGATACACAGGGAGAAGCCATTCGCAGTTCTGGCAATCGTCGACTATATGTCTTCAGGTCTACACCAGGAATGGAGAGATGATTGAGTTCGTAGTTTGCCCTGGGAGTTGGAGTGACGCATCCTTTGCTGAGCTTTGGACGCTTGCTCAAACAGGGACGGGCGCTGTCAAGAGATCAAGATGGTCTGTACGTGGAGCACCCAGGAGCGTAATTCCTTGGTGATGGACGTTCAGGTCTGTGCAGTTCGAGCTCATGACATGGAGAATGAGCCCATGACAGTCGAGAATGAAGCCCCAAAGAATGAAGAGACACCAAAGGAGAATGAGGTCAAACCGAATGACACTGCGACACAGGAGCATATGACAACAAGCCACCGGCTGGGTCAATGGGCAACGGAGATCGTCGAGAACACACAGAAGGTGATCGTGGTGTGAAGCGAGCTGTTGAGCAGGAGGACAATGAGACTTTGGCCTTGATGGAAGAGCAGGAGCCAAAGGCCGGAACAACTCAGCCAGTCGAGGAGACACCTATGAAGAAGTCCAAGACAGTGGAGACAGAAGCTGTGGAACTACGTTCACCTGGCTCACCACGGAGGAGTCAGAGATCCATCGCCTTGTCGAGTGGAGAGAGTGAATGTGTGGCCATGGTTGGTGGCTGTAGTGAAGGACTCTTGATTCGACATTGCTGGAAGTTCTTGACAGACGAGGAGGCGGAGATGGTGTGCAGGTCAGACTCCTCAGCGGCAAGGTCATTGGCTGGACGCATTGGAGTTGGAAGAACAAGACACATGGCTGCCGGACTGCTATCACTTCAGCAGCGAGTAAACTCCAAAGAAGTGCGCATCTCTTGAGCAAGGCCAGGATAAATGGTCTCAAGTATTTGATCAAGATGATCGATGGTGATGTCGAGAAGGTGGGCAAAGCACAATACAATGAGATCGGGCTGAAGGAGGAGCTCAAGAAGAACACCACCAAGATGGCCAAGGCCATGGGTGCCAACGCCAAAGTGGCACTGGTGAGAGGAAGAAGACGAAGGGCACGATGATGAGTCCTGGTGGGTTCGGCCATTGGTGACCATGCTACGCTTGGCTGTGATTGGGGCCTTGAGTCTGGCACGGTTCGCACTAGATGGAGTACGGGCATGGCTGAATGGAAGACGGGCCTCTGAGGGCATCATCGAAGAGAAGCAGGACGAAAGAGAAAGGGGACAAGCGGAAGAACCGCGTGTGAGAAATGAGACGCAAGTCATGGCACCACAGCCGAGTGAGTCCTGGCGTGAAGAAGACCAGGAGAAAGTGAATATGCAGTGGCAGATTCTTCGGCTAGAAGTCGTAGTGGCCGAGCAGTCAGAGAAGTTGAAGGAAGTACGAGAAGACAGAGACATCCAGTACAGGGAGGTCGTTAGAACGTACAACATGTGCAGCGACCTACGCTTTCAGCTGGAAAATGTGAAAGAAGAAAGGGACAATGCTGTGAGAAAGGTGACCAGGCTCAGTGGCACAGAGGATGAACGTGCTCATGAGATGGAGCGACTTGCTGAAGATTGTGCACGAGCCTGGGAGGTGACTGAGTTGTGGAAGAAGAGAGTGAAAGAAGTCGAGACAGAGTCAAAAGCCCAGCTGGCAGAAGCGCGGCGAGCAGCTCATTTCACCCTAGAGCGCAAAGAGTGGATGGTCACGCGTACAGGATCATGCTACCACTCGCGTGAATCCTCTCACGTTGCGAATAGCAGCGGAGTCAAGCATCTCAAACCATGTGCCTACTGTATACGACCTGCCATAGGGGGGGGCGTGTTAGAATCCAAGTCAAGTTTAGTGGCATGAATGGCAGGTGGCACACTCGACGCATGAAGGTTACTGTACACGACACTCCAAACTAGCGCGTAAAAGACGGCGCGTGTTCGTTTTCAATAAGTTAATTTCTAATCAGAATAGACCTTGGGATCCGTTGGTCTATCGGTCTATCCGAGTCTTGGAAAGTCGCAAAAGCTCCAGGCTGAGAGTTTGCCTTAGTCCTAGCTAGAACACCGTGCGTATAGAAGTTGTGGGATGAGAAGCACTAAGTACAGCGTATGGCTACCATCTTTGTTTACATTTTCCCATTGGACTTAGGTATTTGATTCCGGGTTCTTGTCCAGGTCCGCTTGGAAGAGTTGAGCACGAACACAACAGGTGTTCAACATGACCAGCAAGAGCAGGCCCTGTTCAGTCAGCTATATATATATGTTATATATATATACATCAATCCTAGTATTTGTGGCCTGTTAAAGTTTCAAGGTGCACACACAAGAGCTGAAGCGCTTGCGGCAGGACGCGTGCTTGATCTTGACGTATTTACAAACGTAAGTTTGTTACCTTTTCTTGGAAGGGGCTTCCCCATCACTTCGTCTTAAAGGACCTAGCAGGCGACGAACGCTTTGCGGAATGATGCAAGCCCATCTGTTTGGCGAGCGTATTCTTGTGGACGAGGGGTTACCAGTGTGGCAGCGTGACTTTTGAGTGTGTGGGGTCAGTTTGCATCGCTGCTCTGTTCTTGGAGGGCAGATGCAGGAGTCGAAACCAGCCCAAACATGTGGCGTGGCACAAATGTTGCTGTAGGATGGAGGCGAGGAGTGTTGGACATGTTGCTTGTTTATTTTTGGGGTTCTTTTGCCAAGCGCCGTGGCAGGGCTGCCTGATGTTTCCGTTTGACTTACGCAGGATGTTTGGTAGGAAAAACTTGGCTTGGAGGTTCCCCCACCTTGCTTTCGGAGAGTGTCTCTTGCGAAACGCTCGCCTTGGAGATTTCAATCATTTTCGGACGACGTGACACCGTGACAACGGGGCTTTCGAGATGTACCACCGACTTTTCGGTGGACTGAGTCTGGTACTTTCGACTTCCCGCGAAGTCTCCAACGAAGCACTCGTTTGGATCTGTCCCGCTTTGAAACGATCGCGGTGTCAGGCAAGAGTTTTCATCATAGTGTTCATATGTGTTCATGAAGGTGGTCGACAAGAGTGATAGAAAAAACTGTCCAACAAGATCTTCAAGCAAGAGCGCCACGACTGTGGCGCAAGAGTGGAAGAGTCTCGAGCAAGAGTGTGAAGCAAAAGCGTCGCACAAGAGTGTCCTAGAAGAATACGCAAGAATGCCCTCCAAGAGTGGCAGAAAGATCAGAAAGAGTGTCCCAGAAGACTGTTGCGCCAGAGTGTCAAGCAAGAGCGCCTTGCAAGAGTGTCCTGCAAGAGTGCCCTAGCCAGACCAAGAGCGTTCTACAAGCGCGTCCCTTGAGTGTCGCACCAGTGCCTGTCGAGACTGTCCCAGAAGAGTGCCGCGCACGAGTAATAAAAAAATTGGAGAGCAAGAGACAGAGGAAGAAGACAAACAAGTGAGGCCATGGGACAGCGACGGGACAATGCGCGCATCACAAAAGGAAACAAGCCTGGGAGACAAGTGGGTAGACAAGACACAGCAGCGACAGCGGCCAGACAACCCGACACTAAACCAAACAAGGCTTGTAACAAGACAGCAGCAGGAAATCTCGGAATTCAGTCACCCAGTCATTGAGACATGTTTTGCGAAAAGTTGTGTTAGAAGTTCCACAAGAGTCCCACACAAAAAGGTTGCGCTAGAGCGGCCTACATGAGTGTCATGTGGTCACACAGTCCGAGAGAGTCAGCATTCGGGTTCGCATTCTCAATCTTATGGATTGTTTGTTAAGGTTGCTTTGCTTTTTCCCACCGCTCTCACAACCGCAGGATGTCGAGGCTCTACACAATCAGAAGGAGCAACTAAGAAAGCACCTTCAGGACAATGCGGCCTACGTGAGTTTGCTTGCTCGAGCCATGGGTTTAGATTGCGCAATCTTTCTTTGCCGGCTTTAATATGCAGCGCTCCTTTGGCGAAGCATAGTTTGTCGTTTCCTCCAATGGCGGTGTGCCATTCAGTTTCTTTGCATCAAACACTCTCTCTCGCCTTGTATAATGGTTCGGGCTCATTGCTGCCATTCCTCACGTTTCTATCGGATTGAGAAGCCGTGTCAAAACTTGGGTGTGGCAGCGGCGTGCGCTGCCACCTGCTTACGGCATTTACTTGCAATATCCCCGATGCCACGGGCTATCTAAAATGAGTGTTGACCACGGAAAACCCCTTTTATTTGACTCATTTACTTGTAGTTTAAGGGTTATCCAAAATGAGTCTTAAACAAAAATGATGACACGGATGAACTAGTTTATAGTGCCAGTTTGGAAAACAAATATCCCGGCAAGAGACCCCAAACAGTGTGTGTGTGTGTTTATAGTGCAAGCAGAAAGTCTAGAGATCTAGACGCATTGGGGTCCAGAAAGGTGATGGTGGTGATGAAGTGAAGGTGGGTGTGAGTGAGTGTGGGTGAGAGGGAGTGTGAGCGTGAGTGAGAGTGGGAGAGTGTGAGTGCGAGTGTGAGTGAGAGTGAGTGTGGATGAGAGTGAGGGTGAGTGTGAGTGTGAGTGTAAGTGAGCGTGAGTGAGAGTGAAGGTGGGTGTGAGTGAGTGTGGGTGAGAGTGAGTGTGAGTGAGAGTGGGAGAGTGAGTGTGAGTGTGAGTGTGAGTGAGAGCGAGTGTGGGTGAGAGTAAGTGTGCGTGAGAGTGAGAGTGTGAGGGAATGTGAGTGAAAGTGAAAGTGGGAGAGGCGCAGTGTGAGGGAGTGTGAGTGTGAGCGAGAGTGGGAGACTGAGTGAGCCGTTCGACGGTTCACAGGGGCCACTCTGCGGGGTCACCCTGGGCTCTCACTAGGAGAGACGCACTTATGATGATGCGTACTGACTAGACAGCGGTGCCACATGCCAGCCTGAGTTAAAAACCTGAGATGCCAGCCGGATAGGTAGGAAGTTAAAGGCCTTTGCTTTTGGGTTGGAGGTTATCGCAAGGGCGTTGGAGGTCAGCCTAAGGTTGGAGGCCGTCGCTAGTAGGTGGTGGGTGGTACACAAGCAAAACAAAAGTGACAAGTAGTAGGTTAAAGGCCATCGCTTTTAGGTTGGAGGTCCTTGCAAGGCCGTTGGAGGTCAACACCTAAGCTTGGAGGCTGTCGCTAGTAGGTGAAAGGTAGTAGTTGGAGGCCAGCGCAACGAGTTTACCGCAAGTACCTGTGCCCAACGTGTCTTCCTCTCCCCAACTCTGCAGACTGAATAGGAAAGCGTCCAGTCTGACAGAGTGGACGCGCCGGCCCTAAGGGCAACCGGCATAGAAACTATTAGAAGGACACCAAAAATAGGAAGCGGCCACAGCAACGAGGTGACGGGTTAGGAGGCCCACAAGAAAATAAAAGGACCGGATAACCCCACATGATAAGTTTTACAAATTTCAAATGTATATGAACATCACATGGGAGACGGAGTAGTGAGATGAAAAGTCAATAACGAAGTGTGAGGAGAGAAGGTATATGAGGCGGTTATGCTCAGACGTGCAGTCTAAGTGATGATGTGATGGACGAGGGTGAGAAGGAGGGGAGGGAGGAGGTGTGTGTGTGTGTGGTAAGATGGCGTGCGTGTGTGTGTGGGTGTGTGATAAAGTGTCTGATGATGTGATGAACAAGGATGAGAGGGACGAGAGGGACGAGAGAGAGAGAGAGAAGGAGGCGGAGAGAGATGTTTGGAGGCTCTGGATTTTGCCATCAGATCCGCATGCGACCTTCAAAACGTAACACACTCGAAACGACCATCAAAGCTATCAAGTGGTCTTATCCCGACCACGGCGGGCAGTGTTAGCAGGATGTAAAGCAAGAAGAGGTGAGACACGCTTTTTTTCTCTCGCGCAGAGATGTAGAGTGAGCTCCAGGCAGGACCTGAGCTCCGGTCAACTCGCACGACTAGTCAGTGAGTTCAAACCGAATATATTTTCAACACTGAAGGCTTCCCAAACGACTGGCTCAAACAAAAGGTAACCCAAAAAAAGGCCTTGCCAGTCAGGCTATACTGCAAGTCACATGTCACAAAACATCAGAAGTGTCGATGTCAGAAACGAACTTGGTCAGTGCCAATTCTCGGGTACTGCGCCTGCCACGCGGAATGTTGAGATGATATGAGCCTGCCACGCGGCAGGCAGCCAGCGGCACCAGCGTCGGCAGGCCCTTCTGGAGGCTCTGGATACTGCGCCTGCCACGAGGACAGCCAGAGGTACCAGCGGCGACAACGCGCGCCGCAGCCCCTTCTGGAGGCTCTGGGTACTGCGCCTGCCACGAGGACAGCCAGCGGCACCAGCGGCGACAACGCGCGCCGCAGGCCCTTCTGGAGGCTCTGGGTACTGCGCCTGCCACGCGGAATGTTGAGATGATATGAGTGGGAAAGGTGAAGAGGATGAGGATGGTGATCTGTTGAGATGATATGAGTGGGAGAGGTGAAGAGGATGATGTGGAGCTGTATGTGTGTGAGGGTGGTGCTATGTACATGTGAACAGGATGATTGATGTGGACATGCGTGTGACAGCGATGTAGATGTTGAGAGGACGCTTTGAGTGAGAGGATGATGGTGCGTGGGACAGGTAGCCGCGGCGGCCGCGGTTCGCGGCGGCGGGCGGGATGGCAGCCAAAAAACTAGAACCCCACACAGAGATGTGGGGAACAACAAATCAAAATCAAAATCTAGCTCGTGACTCCAAAAGTTGCTCAGCAACATCGTGGTACACTTCAAGATTTGTGCGTGTCATACATTCCAACAGGATTCCTGTGATTGCAAGGGTCACACACGCCTCCTCGAGGGGAGGCGGGAAAAACTGAGGTTAGGACGAACGCGCGCCCAGCAAAGACAAAAAGATGAAGTCATGAAGAGACGACAAGACAGGACAAAAGTGCGATGAAAGGAAACCAAATGCACAGGGACAACCGATGAACCCCACCTCTTTTTCAAATTTGGGCGACCTGAAACCTGGGTTTGAAGTGAATGTGGTTGTGCGCGCGCACTGAGCCGGACCTGTGTGCGCAAGAGAAAGAAGAAGTGAAATGCCAGGACATGAAGACAGGAAGGCGTGAAAGAAAAGAAAAAATGTGTGTAATAGGGAAACACGATGAAAAGGAGGGAGATGTGGGAAAGAAAAGAACGAAAGGAGAAGAAAGTGCGAGTGTGAGTGAGAATGAGTGAGAGTGAGAGTGGGAGAGTGAGTGAGTGTGAGAGTGAGAGAGATCCAATCAGCTGATTGGCCTGATGAAGGAAGCTTGACATTGCAAAGATGTGATCCAAAAAGTCCACCCAGGAGACAAAATGAAGATACTGTGGGGTGCCCCTTGCACCATCTATCTTCATTCTCGCTCTGTCATCTTCACTCCTCTCCCATCCTTATGTTGAAGTTCATCGTCCCTAAGCTGGCCGGTCCTCGTTTTCACCTACTTGCCGTTAGCACTGATGCGCTCACACCTACCTATCTCATCAACTTTGACAAGCTGCCAATCTCAGCCGCGCACGTTCTGCCAGGACCAAGACAGAGAGAGACAGGACTTTTGGGCTGGTGGTGCTACCTTCGTGAAGGGAGTACAAGTTTGAGTTCATGATGGCGTTGAAGTGGCCATCACCGAATACAATAGCGATCGAATTTGTTTGCTTTTTTGAATTACTTTTGTGAGTGTGTGTCCACGAGGAATTGCAGGACAATTTTCTCTACGTGAAAGGCCAACTCGACAAGGCAAAGTGGCCGTCCCCAAATTGTGGTTTTGTGGAAACTGTTTGCCTTGACTCAGGTTCAGCTAAAACAAGCAGAGGCCGCAGAAAATGGTTCTTCAGATGGTCGCAAGGCACTGACAAAACGAGTCATGAATGGCCAAATGCAATTTTTTTGTTTAATTTGTTGTTCTTGCGAAGGAACTGCAGAGGCACCGACAAACCCTTCAGACTGTGACAGATGAGAGGCTTGCACGCAAACCAGCTACAGTTACTTTGCTCACCGCACTGGCTGCCTTTGACTTGCCAGAAATCGGCTTGCCAACCGTTTGGAGAGCACACTCAATGTACTTGAGAAGGACTTACATCCCGGGGGAATAGGATGGAGTGGGTGTTTTCGTTGGTTTATGCATGCGCGATTGGATATTGCCGTCAGGAGAAAGCTTATCATGAACAATCCGTAGAGCGAGTGACTTCAGTTTGGATCTGAGAAACTGTGCGGGACATCATGAGCTATTGCCAGTATCGCCAACATGTGATGCGGAGGCAAACTCGAAGTTGATGGAGGCAGTGTCATGGTTCTGCACCCTTTGCATGTGCCTGATCAAAGCCCTCAAAAGTCAGTTCTTGAGGAGAAGGACCGGATTTCGAAAGAAGTGGAGCGACTGTCCAACCTGTGCTTTGGAAGACGTCAAATTTGCCATGACTGGCACGTACGAAAGAATTGCGCATTGTGTTGTGTTCCAGTGATGGTCTACCAAGGTACACAGAATCTGTGAATCAATTGCAGTTTGGTTTGAATGAAGCGCAAGCAGGAAGCGTTTTCAGGCTGGACAGACAGTTGAGCAGTTAAGCGCGGGTCCAATGCATTGACAACATGTTGTTTTCTTTGCTTCAAGGGGTGTAGGTCACCGGTATGACGGTGCAAATCCAACAAAAGATCCAAGCAAAAGCGAAAAGCGAACCAAGGGTCTCCCGCAAAAGCAAGCTGCGCGATGCGAAAGCTATTTCCTGCAGCGCGCACATCGATGGCTGCGGAAAACACAACTCAGCACAACCGACCGCTTCAAGCTCAACCATAAGACATCTTCACATGCACAACTGAACTCATCATAACCGGTAGGTCATGGTAGGCCGCGAAGATCCGTGAAGACCTGGAGAGCAAAAGTATGTAGGGCAAGCAGATGCGAGTCTGATGAGAACGACTGACAAGAAGGCACTAAGTTAAGGACTGGAGGCAGAAGGGTTCGGTTCTTCAAAGATCCAGGTTTCCTTGAACTGAAGAACCGTATATAGTTTGTTTGATAAGTTTTTCTTAGATTTGGAAACTGAAGTGGTTGATGTCTCGCGGCAGGTCGGATTCAGAAGCAAATCCAGTGGATCCGGTCAGCTCTTTTGTTGTGGATGGGAGGGGTGCCGTTCGGATGCGCGTGCGCAGGGCATGTGTTCAGCGCCATTCAGAGAACTCCTACAGAAAGACCGTAAGACCTCTGCTTTAAACTTTGAATCCTATTGAAACTGAAAGGGAGAGAAGGTGGGCCTTTGTGTTTGCATGCTTTTCGAGCCTCACAAGGCTGAAATGGCTCACCTAAAGTTGCAAGCTGAAGAATTGGAAGCGACAATCCTGGAGAAGGAGGAGGCAAGTCGAATCGAATCAAAGATCAGTGAGTTTTGCGCGCACCTTTGACTAGGAAAATGATGCCCTGAAGACCCGCATTCGGAAGCTGGCTGTTTCATGACGCCTTGCAGCCAAGGCCCGTCACAGCACGTCTCACCAGGACCACCAGCGTTCACCAGCGTCACCAATGTCAAAAGACTTGTGTGGGTTTCTACGCAGCTACTCCGGCACAGATCTGTGACGCCGTACTGCAAGATATTGAGAACGCACAGACACACACTCTGACATTGGTTTTCAGTTATCCAATTCCCAAGTGGAAAGAAGGTGGAGAACCGCAAGGCGAAAGGTCCAAGCACTTGAAGGTGTTTTAACAAAATGGTTTTCTCGTGACTGCAGTACTCAGCGGTAGCGAAGCGAGCGGCGCGGTGCAGCTGCAGAAAACCAAGGTTTCGGGGGCGGTAGCGTGAAGAACCATGGAACCAAAAGAGCAAATTGGACAGCTTGGGCAAAAGTTCAGTTTGCAGGTACACACTGAGACGTCTCTCAGTGCTTCCCATCTCGCTGCCTAGCTTTGTTAGACCAGGTCAGCAGCGAGATGCCTGGCCCCCCTGCTTGAAAAAGAGAGAGAGAGAGAGAAAGAATAAAAGGACCGGATAACCCCACATGATAAGTTTTACAAATTTCAGATGTATATGAAGCACATGGGAGACGGAGTAGTGAGATGAAAAGTCAAGAACGAAGTGTGAGGAGAGAAGGTATATGAGGCGGCTGTGCTAAGACGTGTAGTATAAGTGATGATGTGATGGACGAGGATGAGAAGAAGGGGAGGGAGGAGGTGTGTGTGTGGTAAGATGGCGTGCGTGTGTGTGTGTGTGGGGGTGTGATAAAGTGTCTGATGATGTGATGAACAAGGATGAGAGGGAAGAGAGAGAGAGAGAGTGAGTGAGTGAGTGAAGTGAGTGAGGTGAGTGAGGTGAGTGAGGTGAGTGAGGTGAGTGGAGTGAGTGGAGTGAGTGAGGTGAGTGGAGTGAGTGGAGTGAGTGGAGTGAGTGGAGTGAGTGGAGTGAGTGGAGTGAGTGGAGTGAGTGGAGTGAGTGAGTGGAGTGAGTGGAGTGAGTGGGGTGAGTGGAGTGAGTGAGTGAGTAGTGGAGTGGAGTGGAGTGGAGTGGAGTGGAGTGGAGTGGAGTGGAGTGGAGTGGAGTGGAGTGGAGTGAGGGAGTGAGGGAGTGAGTGAGTGGAGTGAGTGAGTGGAGTGAGTGAGTGGAGTGAGTGAGTGGAGAGTGAGTGAGTGAGTGAGTGAGTGAGTGGTACAATGCGACTCCGAACCGGCAAGAACCAATACCATGAAATCACAATGGCAGTACTGCACAGACACAGGGTGCGCACATCCTGGCCGCAGCCATTACAATGCGATTCGCAGCCTGTCACAGCCATTGCTTTGCAAATCACAATGGCAGTAACGCACAGAACCGCCCGGGGCCCAGCGGCGACCACGCGCGGCGCAGCCCCTTCTGCAGTCTCTGGGTACTGCGCCTGCCACTGCAGAGAGCGAGGGGGGCCCAGCGGCGACCACGCGCGCCGCAGGCCCTTCTGCAGTCTCTGGACACTGCGCCGCAGCCCCTTCTGCAGTCTCTGGACACTGCGGAGAGAGCCGGAGTCAGTGATGGAGTGAGTGAGTGAGTGAGTGAGTGAGTGAGTGGTGATATCTTGTGTTGTGTGTGTGTGAATGAGTGAGTGAGTGAGTGAGTGAGTGAGTGACTAAGTCTCTGCAGACGCCTGGGAGTGTGAGTGTGCAGTGAGTGAGTGAGTGAGTGAGTGAGCGAGTGAGTGAGTGAGTGAGTGAGCGAGTGAGTGGAGGAGGGGGCGAGGAGGACGGAGGGAAGGAAGGAAGGACGGATGCGGGCGGGATGGCAGCCAACAAAACTAGAACCCCACACAGAGATGTGGGGAAAAAGGAAAAGGGGACTCTTAGTTACAGAGGTTGACACAAACACGAAGCCGGTTCCGGCGCACGTGGAACAAGTGGCGGTTGTTTTCTTGGAGCTGCGAAAAATGTCAAACATGAAAGTGGATCCAATGAAAATCAGTGGAAGTTCCGTGAAGCCCGGCGGCGTAGGTAGCAGTTAATACAGTGGTGAAACAAAGTCCGTGAAGAGAATCCAAGGTATGGCAGCTCATGTGGTCGGAAAAAGAGTTGGAGTGAAAGGGTGCAATGTGAGAAGACTTGTGTGCCATGACGAAGGAAGGTTTTTTGCGGCTAACAGAAGCTGTTGTCGTGTGAAACAACGGGAATGGCAGGCTTGCCTCAGGGCTCGTGGTCGACAAGCATATTGGTAGCCGCTGCAGCAGCCGCGCGGCGCGCAATCCGCAGGATAGCAGTGGTTGTGTTTGTAACGGAGGCGGATGGACTGTGTTTGGCTGTGGGTGGAGTAGAGAGGGAGCGAGAGCAGGCGGTGGAACAAGGGTAGTGGAAGGAGGTTCTTGGTATGGTAGGGGCCGAAACGGTGGCTGGCCTGGGCGTGCTTTCTGAAGGATAGGGACGTTGGTCATAAGAAGGACGGGGTCCTCGCTGCTGGTGGTGGTGGAGGGGGATGGAGGTGGCGGTTTGTGGGAGGCTCCGGTAGCGGAGCGGCCCGTGTGTGATTGGAGTGTGTTGTATTGTTTGGGAGGAGAAGGTGCGGGAACTGGAGGTGTTTTTGGAGGTGGAGAAAAGGCTGAAGTGGTGGTGCCAGTGATTGGTTGCACCCCGACTGGGGTTGGATGGGTGGGTTCCGTAGGCTCATCTTTGATTGACTCTGATTTGATTTCTGGCAAATCCGGTTCTTCGACTTTGATGGGAGGCAATGTGTAAGGATCGCTTTGAAGGTCTTCAAGCGCTGAGGGGCTGAGATCCCAATCTGGAGAGTCAAGATCAATGGGCATGGCGCGGATGCGGAGCCAAATCGGGGGTGTGGGTGCGCAAAAACGGCTGCGGGAAGGTCGCATATAACTGTACAGAAACTGGTGAGATGCTGAAACTGGTGATCTTAGAGCAATAATTTTCCGGAGCTTGAAAGATTCAATGCGAGGGTGAAACAGCGGACTACCTTGAAGAGCCAGTGTAATCGGGGCCTGAATGAAGCTGCCAGGTGCTGGCGGATGGACTCGAAGAGGGTGTTGATGTAGCAGTTTAGAGAGATTGATGTAGGGAACTGCGATGGCTGTGGGAATTGGTGAGATCGGAGAAAGGTCGGTGGCCCGGCGTATGGGCTGGGGATGCTGATGTGGTGGTGGTGGTAGTAGTGGTTGTAGAGGGCCTGTCCCGGGAACGGGATCTGGCACGTGGAGTGAGATGTGTGATCAGGCGGTGCTGTGGTGGGAGGGCTGTTGGCGGACGAGTCAGTGGTGGGATTGGTGTAGAGAGGAAGTTGGTTGTAGCGCATGGTGGGAACCGAGCGGCTGGGTCCATCCTGTAGTGGCCAGGTGAGCCCGGTGAGCCGGGCAGGAATTGGAGTATGCTGATGCCCTGGCATAGGCCGGCGGTGATGGTGACCAGGTGGCGCAAGGCGATCATCCATGAGAGCAGTAATAATTCCGGTTGGTGAGTGGCCGATGGCGCAAGATAGGGAAGAGGGTTCCCTGGCAAATAGTGGGCGGCTGCAGGGGGCGGAGCTGTGCCCTGGAAAGTTCCTTCCATTGGTGTAGCGTCGGCAGGTGGTGAAGCAAAGCCAAAGTCGGAATCAGTCATAGCAGTGATGGTTGGCAGAGCTGATGGCGGAAGGCAGTCTCAACAAAACGGCTGCGGTATTACGCATATAATACAATGCATGTGAAAGGTCATTGGACAGTGCTGATGGTGGGGGGATTGATTGAAAAGTCGTGAGATCGGCATTGGAGCTTTATCTCGACTGCTGAGCAAATGGTGGCTTGAAAAACTATATACAGATCGGCTCACTGTGGTGGAAATGAGCGGCTACGAGATAGAGGTGTCTTGGGATCCGGAGCGGTCTCTGGCTGTTGTTCTGGAGGGTAGCAGCTGGCGCTGGCGGCGAGGCTGAGGATGGTGATTTCGAGGTGGGTGGACAATGTGTAGCTCTTGTGCGAGGAAGTCGGTGGTGTCCGGTGGGAAAGGCACTGAGGGATTGATGCGATAGCTGCCCTGGTGGCCCGGAGGGCCTGGTACAAACTGAAGCAGTTTGCTGGCGCGTTTGAGACGTAGAGTGATTCGGGTCAGCTCTGTGATACTTTCATGGTATTGAAAGTAGAGTCGGAAGGCATCAGTGTCTGTGAACAAAGTATTGTCCGGTATGGGGCTGTTGATCGTGGGGTGATTGAGGAGCTGATTGACCACGTTGCCGAGGCAATCGAGAAGGCCGTGCAAGAGAGGAAGCTCTGGATTGTGTGTGAGTGAAGGAGTCAAGTGTGGGGGAGGATTGTCCGGGAGGAAGTATGTCTCGGCTGAAGATTGCTCCGTAGGAGACGACGACAAGGCTGAAGGAGGTCTGAGGGCAATTGAAGCCATGCTGAGCAAAGGTCGTAGGAGGCTGACAGCAGTCAAAATGAAAACGGCTGCAGAAAGATAGGTCGGAAATCAACATCCAAAGATCGCGAAAGCTCAAAACCGAGAAGCAACTGTACAAAGTGGTTACGTGCAGGAAAAATGAACGGAATTCAAAGTGCATAACAGTGCTGCAGTGCATGGACTTGTTTGCTGACGGCGCGCCGAAGAGAGCTGGGTGAAACTGAAACTATACAAAATAGCTACCGATGTCAGCCGCTGCGAGTTCCGGATGACTGTCCTCACTGGTGATTTCTGGTACGGCATCAGGTGTGACTGGGGCAGCCGGCGCAGGCGATGGAGGTGGTGTGGGTGTGTAGGAGAAGTCTGGGGCTGAAAGTGACGCCGGTGGTGGAAGCGCTGATGCCGAGAGAGGCATCTGGGCCGGTGAGGCCGGTGGCAGGTGAAGTGGGTGTAGGTGACGGTGGTGGGTGGACTGCCTCGTGTTGGTGTGGGGGTGCTTGGAGTTCTTCCCAACGTGCTTTGCACTGCTCAATGGAGAAACCTACTCGACGGGCAACGTAGTTCCAGTTCGGGCGGAGACGAGTATCAGTTTTGAGCTCAACAAGGCGGATATCTGCATCAGCGTCCCAAGCATCCCAATCTGCATCTTCGTTGAGGGGTGGTGGAGGCTGACGTTTGCGCTTGGGTTGTGGCTGTAGTGGTGATGAAGAAGAAGCCGAGGATGCTTGGGAAGGAGGAGGTTCCTGCGGTGCATGTTTGATGGGAGCAGCAGGCGCCGAGTCGCGCGAAGAGGTGGGGGAGGGAATGGGGACGGCTGTGATGGGAGCTGGTGAGAGAGTCTGAAAAGGTCG